AATCAATAGTGATTTAGAACATTTTTTCATATGACTATAGATGCTTTCATTTGTTCTCCTGAAAACTGCTTGTTCATATTCTTTGACCATTTATCCGTTAGGGAATGACTTATATTCTATAAATTCGACTCAGTTCTTTAAAACCAGCTCCTAATATTATTTATTAGTTCAATAAGTTTTCTTACTTTCAATTTCACTAATCTCTTCTTTGATTTTCAAGATTTCTAATTTGTTGTTTAATTAGAGCTTAAATTTTTTTTTGCTTTTATGTTGTCTGAGATTATGATTGCTACCCCTGGTTTTTTTTTTTTAAACTTCTGATGAAGCAGAACAGATTCTGCTCCAGGACCCCGTTACCTTTACTCTCTGTGTTTCTCTCAGCTTTAAGTATGTTTCTTGCAAGCCACGTATTGTAGAATTCTGTTTTTTAATCTATTCTGCTGTCTGCTTCTATCTTATGGGTGAGTTCATCCCGTTGACATTCACAGTTATAATTACTAACATATATTTCCCTTTATCCTATTCCCTCTGCCGTTTATTCTTCTCTTTTTCTCCCTGTCCCTCCTTGAAAGTGTTTTGCTTCTGACCACTGCCTCCCCTAATCTGTCCTCCCTTCTCTCAGTTCACCCCTCCCTGCCCCCTGGATTTTCTTATTTTCCTTCCCCTCTTATTTCCCTCTAGGGTAAGATAGATTTATGTACTCAACTCAGTGTGTATATTATTCCCTTTTTGAGCCAATTCTGATGAGAGTAAGGATCCAGCATTTCCTGCCACCACACCTATCTTTACCTCTACTGTAAAAGCTCTTCCTTTCATGCCTTTTTTTGGTGAAACAATTTACCCTATTCTACCTCTTCCTACCAATGTATCCTTCTTTCTCACTTCTTAATTTTATTTTTTTTTAAATCGTCCCATCATAGTCAACTCACACCCTCTGTCTATATATATATTCCTTCTAACTGCCCTAATAATGAGAAAATTCTTAGGAGTTACAAATATCATCATCCCATGTAGGAATGTAAGCAGTTTAATCTTATTGAATCCTTTGTGATTTCTCTTTCTTTTTTGTTCTTATCTTGAGTCTTGTATTTGTATTTTCTATTTAGCTTTGGTCTTTTCATCAGGAATGCTTGAAAGTCTTCTATTTCATTAAATATCTATTTTTTCTCCTGAAGGATTATACCCAGTTTTGCTGGGGAGGTGATTGTTGGTTGTAATCCTAGCTCCTTAGCTCTCTAGAATATCACATTCTAAGCCTTCTGCTCTTTTAATGTAGAAACTGCTACATCTTGTGTTATCCTGGCTGTGACTCCATGATGTTTGATTGTTTCTTTCTGGCTGTTTGTAATATTTTCTGCTTGACATGAGAGCTCTGGAATTTGGCTATAATATTTCTGAGAGTTTTAATTTTGGGATCTCTTTCAGGAGGGTAATCAGTGAATTCTTTTAGTTTCTCTTTTACCCTCTTGTTCTAGGATATCTGGGCTGTTTTCTTTGATAATTTCTTGAAATATGATGTCTCATCTCTTTCTTTTTTGATTAGGGCTTTCAGGTAATTCAATAATTCTTAAATTATCTCTCCTCAATCTGTTTTCCAAGTCATTTGTTTTCCAATGAGATATTTCACATTTTCTTCCCTTTTTTCTTTTGAGTTTCTTGATGTCTCATGGAGTTATTATCTTCCACATGCCTAATTCTAATTTTTAAGGTATTAGTTTCTTCAGTGAACTCTTGTATCTCTTTTCCCATTTGGCCAATTCTGGTTTTTAAGGAATTCTGCTCTTTAGTGAATTTTTGTGCCTCTTTTACCATTTGGCCAATTCTGTTTTTTTGTTATTTTCTTCCTTATTTTTTTTGTGCCTCTTTTGCTAAGCTGTTGTTTTTCTTCTCATAGTTTTCTTTTCCCATACTCTCATTTCTTTTCTCAATTTTTCCTCTACCTTTCTTTTTGAGCTCTTCTAGGAATTTTTTTTTGGGGGGCTGTGATTAATTCACATTTTTCTTTGAGGCTTTGCACCTAGGTGCAAACTTTGTTGTTTTCTTCTGAGTTTGTGTTTTGATCTTCCCTGTCACCATAGTAACTTTCTTTGGTCAGGTTCTCTTTTTTATTATTTGCTTATTTTCCCAACCTGTTTCTTGACTTTTAAATTTAGGTTAAAATTGTGCTGTGCTTCTGGGGTGGAGAGGGCATGGTCCCAAGCTTTCAGGTCTTTTGTGCTACTGTTCTCAGGGCTAGTTCTGGATGTGTAGGTTTTTGGTGCTTCCAAGGTGGTATGATCTAAGGAAAGGTGTGGTCACTGCTCTCCTGGCCTGTGTTCTGGTCTGTGAGTGACCACAAACACTCTTTTTCACTCTGGAACTATGACCAGAATCCCCACTGTGTTGTGGGCCACAAGTACTAGTGTACTTGTATTCCTCCTGGCTTTGGAACTGCAACTGGGAACCATGTATAGGCAATGCAACAGAGTCCTGTACCCAGTGCCAACCAGGGGTCCCCAGTAATCTCCTTCTGATTTGTTGCTCTTGCCCCTTACCATCTGTGGACTGAGAATTCTGAAAGCTGCTGCCCCTGATGCAGTGGCCCCAAGCCCTGCTCCTGGCTTGCTGGGACATGGCCTGTGCTGGACTCCACTCCACTTTCACAGATCTTTCCTGTTGACTTTCTAAGTTGTCCTGGACTGGAAAGTTGTTTCACTTGTCCTTTGGTTGGTTTTGCTGCTCCAGAATTCATTTTGAGGCATTATTTAAAAGTTGTTTGGAGGGGGATTTGGGAGAGTGCAGGTGAGTCCCTCCACCATCTTGGCTCTGCCTCCTTTATCAGGGTTCCACTTAACAAACTCTTAAACTCTCATGCCTTCTCCATAATTGTTTGAATGCTGCTGGGTGTCACTGGGGTAAATCTAATGATCTCTTAATTGACAAATCTAATGACCTTAATCTTTATTCTTCTTGACTTTCTGTAACCTTTGACACTATTGATCACCCTCTTCTCCTTCATAATCTCTTCTTTCTAGGTTTTTTCATGGCACTAATATCTCCTAGTTCTCCTCCTGTCTTTCTGAATGCTCCTCAGTTTTCTGTGTTGGATTTTCATCCCGATCATGCCCACTAACTGTGAGTGTCCCACAAAGTTCTATCCTGGCCTCTCTTCTCTTTTCCCTCTATACTAATTCTTGGTTATGTCAGCAGCTCTCCTGGATTCGGCTATCTTCTCTGTCCTGATGATTCTCATATCTACCTCTCAGCTGACCTCCAGCCTTGCATCTTTAGCTGCCCATTGGACATCTTGAACTGGATGTCTCATAGGTACCTTAAACTCAGTGTATCTGAATTGAACTCATTATCTTTCCCCCCAAACACTGGCCTCCTTGATTTTGTACAAAACATTCCATCTCCTGACTCTACATTTTCACTGGCATGCCTGGAGTCCTCTCTGTTTTCATCTCTGCTTCCTCATTTCTACCACCTTCTGGTTTCCCTGGCTTCCTTCAAGTCTTAGTTAAAATCCCCATCTTCCACAGGAAGCCTTTCCCTATACTCCTTAGTTCTACTGCCTCCCCTTTGTTGATTATCTCCAATTTATCCAATTTACTTTGTATTTTGGAGGTATATAGTTGTTTTCATTTTGTCTCCACTATTAGACTGTGAGCTTCTTGCATGGAGGGACTGTTTTTTGCCTTTCTCTGTAACCCCAATGCTTAGCACACTGTGTAGCCCACAATGAACACTTAATAAATATTTGTGGACTGAATGACTACAAAATGAGACCTTTTTTCCCCTTGGTCTCATGAAAAACGGACTCTTTCTGGGTCTCTTCTTTTTTTATTTCTTTTTATCCTCAGTCTGTCATATTCCCATATCACCATAGGGAAAAATATCTACCACTGTAAGACTTTATTTGCTTGATATTGAGTACCACAGTGTACTAAGTATAGCATGTCAATGTATGGAAATCAGTAGATTAAGAGAGTAGGTCAGATAAAATTGTGTGTCAAGATCCATAGGTTAATTTTAACATTTGTCATTGTCTATCTGACTTTAGCCATTCAGAAAGTCAGCATTTCTTTAGAGTTGAGGTTAGCAATAGGTTTAGAATTCTGATCTATCCTTTGTACCCCAGTTGTAATTTATTTCTGGTTTTCATCCATTTGTGTTATTCTGTTGTATACTGATTTCCATCATTTCCCTTCCTTTCCTCTCCTCTCTCATATTTTGGTCCCTCTTCCCCTACTTCTCTTCCTCTCTTCATTTCTTTTCCTCCTGGTACATGTGAAGTTTCTCCTTTTGTAGTATTTTGAACCTCAATGACATGGTTGATTTTGATCTTAACCAGTTGTAGTATCATTCTAAAGTTTCAATTCATAGGTAAGGCTACAATGGGTCAGGCCCTTTGGAAAAAGTTTCCCCAAAGCAGGCATAATAAGCCTCCTGTTTCATTGGTCAGCCCATGTGTGTGCTTGTTTTTGGTATAGATAAAACTGATTGAACCCTTGTATCAAACTTCAAAATACCTGCTAGAGACACTAGAACTCTGTTCTCAGTGGTAGCCTATATTAAGTTCTGTGCTGTGTGTTCTGTTATTTATATGAGATGAAGTTTGAGGGGAAGTTATATATGAATGCTGTCCCTGACAGGCCTTCTGAAGAAGATGCTCATTTCCTGGGACTATTCCAAGGTAGAAAATTTTAAAAATAAACAAACTTAAACTCTCCAGAATAAATGAAAAAAATACCTTAAGCTTAAGTTTCCCCTCTCCTGCCCCACATTTTGAAAATAAAAATCCTTTTTTTCATAGGGAACTCATTACTTTCCTCTCCTGCTTTGCTATTCCTCAAGTGGCATAACCCAGTGATCTACCTTATTTGTATATGTTGCATATGAACAAGTGTTTCCCTGGGGCATCCTAAGCACACAGACTCTTAGGCATGGAACTGTCTTTTGTTTCAATAACTCCCTATCTCGAATGCATTCTGTGATCTTTCTCTGTTGCTTTCTTCTAGAAAAGAGATGAAGGCCCTGGAGCAGTCTGGTACACTGAAAGGATCTTTAAGTGCTGATCAGCAACTAGCTCTCATAAGTGGTTCCACAGACCTCAAAGTGGCAGTAGAGGGCGCCATGTACATTCAGGTGAGAGGAGCATCTGTAAATCACCTTACCTATGGGCAACAGTGATTCTGAAGTACCATGCATTTTGTTTATGTTGGAGGGATGGGAGTGGCAAGAAGCAGTCACTTAAGGGGAGTACTTGATTAAGATTCTTACAAAACTATGAAAAAGGAAATGCTCTTTGTATAATGCATCTTAAACAGCTTCTAACATCAACGAAATAAACATTGTGGTAATGATACAGGATTAGGAGCCTTTCTTTTTAAATAAATAATCATATATTCTCCAGATAGAAAGTGACAGTGTGATTTTCCTCAGTGTGATTCTTCCCACCATGATAAAATTATATCTCTTTGCTAATTTATATAGATGATTAAAGGTCTGAAAAGCCTATAATAATACCTTTTCATTTACTTAAGATTTTTAACTACTCCACTAAAAAATGAAGATCTTTTCACCTGGACTACTTTTTAGCCTTATTTCTCCTATACTGTACTTGTGCAGTGTGGAGTTTGTTTTTTTTTTTGTTTTTAGTTCACAGGTAGGTGTTTATCCCAGTTATATTTCATTTTGTTAGCTTCAACCCAATAGGATCAGACTGTTGAGATATTTTTGTTTTTGTTTTTTGTTTGTTTGTTTTAGTTTTTAGGCAATTGGGGTTAAGTGACTTGCCCAGGGTCACACAGCTCATAAGTGTCAAGTGTTTGGTCTGAGACCAGATTTGAGCTCAGGTCCTCCTGACTTCAGGGCTGGTACTCTATCCACTATGCCACCTAGCTGCCCCCCTCCCCCCCCTCCCGTTGAGATATTTTTGGATACCAATTTTATTATCCATTGTACTTATGATCATTTCTAGCTTTGTTTTGGGTGCAGATTTGATAAGGTTGTCATCCCCTAGTTTAGGGCTGGGGAACCTTCAGCCTCGAGGTCTCATGTGACCTTCTAGGTCCTCAGGTGTGGCCTTTTGACTGAGTCCAATTTTTACAGAACAAATCCTTTTATTAAGGGGGTTTGTTCTGTGAAGTTTGGATTCAGTCAAAGGGCCATTTGTGACCTCGAGGCCTGAGATTCCCCACCCTGGCCCTACTTAGTGATAAAAGTGTTGAACAGAACAAATCTTCGGAGTGCTCTATTGGACACTTCCTTCCAGAATAACATTGTATCCATCATTCTCCACTCTTTTGGGTTTTTTCAACTATCTTCAAAACCACTTAACTGTACCAATGATCTAGCCTGCATTATCTCATCTTGTATATAAGTGATGGTGAGAGATTTTGTTAAATAAATGCTTTGCTGAAATCCTGACATATACAATGACTGACCTTTCTCTTATCTACCAGGCTAGTAACTTGTTTAAAAAAAGTAAATTAATTTAGTCATTTACAATTCTTTTTTAACCCATTTTGACTCATAATTATTGCCTCCCCTTGTTTCTAAATGCTCGCAAACTATCCCTTTAATAATTTAATAATAAGAATTTTTAAAAAGTTTGTTGTCAAGTTTACCAGCCTATATATAATTTGAAATAGTCACCTTTTCCCTTTACTTAAAGTTTGGGGCATTTACCCATCTCCAATTATGATGTTATTTGATTCTTAATAATTTTTTAGAAATCATTGAGAACATGTCAGCAAGCATTTGCACATTATTTTGCTACCTGTGATGTAGTGTGTCTAAGCCCTCGTTTGGGGGCAGTGTGAGCTGTCAGCATCTTCTCCCTTTTTACAGGCTTTATTTATTTATTTTTCTGTCCTTTACAGTCTGAAGATCATTATCCTTGCAGAAAAGATAGAAACCAGTTGGGGTCGGATACTCTTCTCCATTGTACATTGTGATTTTCTTGCCAGTGCCAAATAGGCATTTTTTTTCTTTGATTTTCTTTTAACCCCAACATAGCTCAAAAAACTGCCCTCAGAAGAATATAAACTTGTAGAATTCCTAGGCAGTGACTATAAAAGAGAAGTTGGCTTAAGAGGGATGGGAGGCTCCGAAGAACAAGATTTTGTAGGTACTGCCATTGTTGTTTCCCATGAATAAGAAAAGGGTGAGGTATATAATAAGACCAGTGTGGTTTATTAGTGAAATCAGACTTCAGAAAGACAAATTTTAAAAGACAGAGGGATAGAAGTGAAGACAGCTAGCCGAAGGCGAACATAAAAGAACGAAAAGGTTCCATGAGAATGGTGTTGAAATGGCTCGTCTTTGTCTATGTCGCTAGCCCCAGTTTAATGCAGTGTCTTATACATAATAGGGACTTAATACATTTTTTAAAATTAATTTGAATTGAAGCCTAGTATAAGCTGAGGTTTGTTATAAATGATTATTATTAATGATAATTTACATTTCATATAGTGCTTTTAAGATTTACAAAGTCCTTTCTTCACAGTAATCCTTTGAGGTAGGTAGTACAAGTGTTAACCCCAACTTGTGTACAAGTTCTTGCTGTGTACTGGATAATGACAGGCTTTTTTAGCTTCTAGTCTTGGTTTTGTCATATAGTAACAACAACAACAATCCTTATAGTACTTTAAGGTTTGCAAAATGCTTTACAAATATTATCTCATTTGATCCTCACAACGACTGTTGGTGGCAGGTGCTAACATTATCCCCATTTTATAGACGAGGAAACCAAGGCAGACAGTGATTAAGTGACTTGCTTGGGGTCCCTCAGCTAGTAAGTATATGAGGCCAAACTTGAAGTCTAGTCTTTCTGACTCCAGGGTAACTCTCTATTCCCTGTGCCACCCAGAAATTTGATCACTAGAAACTTCTATTAACCTCTTTGAGCCTCAGTTTTTCTCTTTTGTACTCCTGTTACCTACCTCAAGGCATTGTTTTGAGGCAAGTGCTTTTTAAATCTTAAAATCTGTCTCAAGGGTTGCAGACTTTATTCATGGCTACCCCAACCCCCTACCCTGGCCTCCCTTTGGCAGTTTGGTGAAACCTGTAGATCCTCTTCTCAGAATAATGTTTTTAAATGCATAAAATAAAAGATTGAAAAGGAAACCAATTATATTGAAGTATATTTCCCAGACTGTTGGAAAAAAAAGATGGTGGACTCCTGGTTAAGAACCTTTGTTTATAGGAATGTGTTATTATAGGACCATAGATTTCAAATGGGAAGGGACCTCAGTAGTCATGCAGTAGAAGTAATTATAAGTAACCCCCTCATGGACACTAGAAATCAGGGTAATGCTTAAGGCACTGATGGGCTATGTGAAGAATATAAACTAATAAATCATCTAGTGATACAAACTTAGATACATGACATACCATAAACACATACTAAGTATGACCTCAATCTATACAATGAAGTGCATTTGACAAAGTGATTTTATTTGGGGAGTGTTCTGTGGTTGTGTTCACATCATAAGCTCTTTGGTACTTAGAATTACATGATAACTATATGTGGGGGTAAACCACCTCAAATAGCAGTCATATAGTTGTCTGTGGTGGCTTTTGAAGTTCATAGTGTTCTAGATTCTTTGTGATAACGGGAGCAGTGGAGTTTGGCTGTGTTGTTTTGTTTCTGATTTAATTTTTAATGATGCCACTAGGGCCATCTTAAATTCTTTGACATCGCACCCTTTGAAATTTCACCCATTGTTCTGCTAGTGTATGAATTTACCTGGTCTACCAAGCAGAATTAATCCACAGCCTCTTAGAGAATAACTTTCAAGAAAAGAATCATTACTCTCTTGCTGTGCTAGAGAGGTTTGTGAGTTATTCTGATGTCTACTATCTATAGGCACAATAAAGTGTTTATGACTAAGAAAAGATCACAAAGGAACTGCTTTGAGCAGTGGCATAAGCTGGTATATATAGTATAGACATAGTAACCTAAGTCTGTATGATGGGGGTACTTGGATCCATTATGATTACATGTGTCGACGTACAGTGAGTACCAAAAAATGCCCAAATGCTTCTATTCAGTCACCAAATAGCAATGGGAGGAAAAAAGTCACCTGCTAAGAAGCTCTCTTTGTGCAGTTAACATCTTTGCTGTACTTGTACGCTTTTTGGTATTCTATAGGGGCGAAAAACACCAGTAAGCAAACCGTAGATCTAAGCAAAAGAAAAGCTCTGAGTGGGATGGGTTGATTGATTCTAGGGTAAATTTTAAAAATAATGATAATAAATCTGGTACATTTTGTTACTGATGGAGGCTTCCTGTGTGTCATAACTCTAAAACCACATCTTTTCCTCTTGAGAAATTTTTTTTAACCAGGTATCTGCTAAATGACAATGCTGTGTTCTCAACAATCCAGGTCATCTTTGACTCATTTCTCTTTATGTTGAGAATTCATTGGATTAGATGTTTTATCCAGGTCCCCTTTAATCCTCAGATTCTGTGGTTCTGTGACATTGGTTATCACTTACTCTTGGTACGTCAAGGAGTTAGTTAATGAAAGGAGAGAACCCTGTGGATAAGGCAAAGAATTTTTTTTTTTTTTGGTTAAGAACACAAATTTCATGATAGGTATGATAATAAGCCCGAGAGTCCTTATGGTCAAAGACATGGAAATCAGAATGCATTCTCTCTTCTTAAAAATGAATCTTCCACCCAAATCCCAGAGGGCATTTGGGTCAGAAAGTTGCCCAATGCTTTGCTGAAATGTAGCAGCATGCAAGTTTGAAACTTGAAATTCCAGACCTCACTACAGTATTTCAAACCAAATCTTGGCTGGCAAGAAAATCTTTTATGTTAGTTTAAAAAAAAAGTCAATCCCAGAATGTCTCTCAAAAGAACTGATTTTTTTTTTTTTAGAGTCTTATGGCTTGCTTTTAATCGTAATGCATATAATAATTAATTGAAAATAGGGATTTTGGAGATCTTCAAGACTGCCAAAGAATGGGAAATGTCAATGACATTGTGAAATTAGGTTAATCTTCCTTTCAGCAATCATATCCTGAACTACTGAAAAGTTAAAAAGTCACCTAGCCATGTAGCTGTACTATTGGACGCTGAAATTTGCCACCCAAACTTAAATTTTCATTAAATTTTATAAAAAGATTACATT